AAAGGAAGAGGAAGGTAGGGTGGAGGAGGAGCAGGAGGGAGAGATGGGGGGGAGAAGAAGAAGAAAGGAGGGGGAAGGAGGTGGAAGAGGAAGGGAGGGTGGAGGAGGAGGAGGAGGAAGGGAGGGGGGGAGAAGAAGAGGAAGAGAAGGTAGGGTGGAGGAGGAGGAGGAGGAAGGAAGGGAGGGGGGAAGAGGAAAATGAAGGAAGGGTGAAGGAGGAGAAGGAGGAAGGGAGGGGGGGAGAAAGAAGAGGAAAGGGGGGGGGAGAGAAGAGGAAAGGAGGGTGGAGGAGGAGAAGGAGGAAGGGATGGGGGGAGAAGAAGAAGAAAAGGAGAGGAGGTGGAAGACGAAGGGAGGGAGGAGGAAGAAGAGGAGGAGGAGGAGGAGGGAGGGGGGAGGAGGAGGAAGAGAAGGGAGGGGGGGGAAGGAACGGGTGGGGAGGGGAGGAGGAGGAAAGAGCCACACAGGAACTGAACACAGGTGAAGAGACAAGGAGCCGGGATGGGGAGGAGGAAACGAAGAAGAAGAAGGGAGGGGGAGGGAGAAAGGCCACACAGACAGACCCATCAGAATACACAGACACAGACACACAGATAGAAAAACACATACGCACAAAGGTGACACAACCACAGACAGAAAAGCAACCACACAAACAGACAGACAGAAAGCTACAGCCATACAAAAAGAAAGCCATACAGGCAGACAGATAAAAAACTACACAGACAGACAAGCAACCACACACATGGACAGACAGACAACCACGCAGACAGTCACACAAACAGACAGACAGACAACCACGCAAACAGCCACACAAATAGAAAGACAGACAGACAGACAATCACACAGATAGACAGACAGCCAGAAAAAAACAGACAACTACGCAAACAGCCACACAAATAGACAGGCAGACAGACCGACAACCACGCAAACAGCAACACAAAGAGACAAACAGACATACAGACAATCACACAGACAAACAGACAAACAGACAACCACGCAAACAGCCACACAAACAGACAG